ATATATATATATTAAAGATGTTGTTTAGTGTTTGTATATTTTGATTGTCATTTAGCAGTTCCTATTAAATCTCAGAAGAAATTAGTTTTAGGCACAATACAAAGTATAATTTTTGCTCTGTTTATTTCCGTACGTGAGAAAAACAAAACGAAGAATTGTAAGGAGATATACCCCTGCGATACACAGTGAGAGGCTTATAAAAGCTGTTTTTACCGGAATAAGCCAGTAGCTATATAAAGATTGGAAGTACGTAAGAATAGAATTATTCACGCTCAGTGGACTTGATTATTTAAATAATATTTTATTTTAGTTTTTATTAGCAAGAAAAGAAATAAGTAACAGGTGACTTAAAAGTACATCACTTAATATAAGTGCGTCTATCTTCAGAGTATGTATAAACAATGTGTGAAAAAGAAACCCCTCACATGATTCAAATTCGATGATGATGATGACAAAACCTTGTCGAAACGTTGTACATTTGCTGTTATGTTAAACTTATATTAAAGTTTTTCTTTGTTACCCATTCAAGCAGTCTCCAGCCATTATTACCCTCACATGATTGATGGGATTTACAATTAATTAATTGTAGAATTAATGTTTCACTAGTTATGAATATAAATAGTGTTTCTGTTTTTGTCTTAAATGTGCCAGTAATTACTGAAAGTACATAGACTCTAAGTATACCCCATGTAATGAAAAATGAAACTGGAAAAATACCATCAGTACCCCTAGTGGCCACCACACTGACTAATCTACATTTAGCTAGTACTATCATCTTCGACCTGAATATTAACGAACAAGTTAATTTTACTTATCTAGGTATTTATCTTGTTTAGTTCTCAGCCTTCCACTCGATTAACGATTCCCACTTACCATTAATTTTTAATGCTGATAAGAATCGTGAGAGTTACATCACTTTACCTTGCTTTTTACCTTGTTTATTTTGATACATAAACAAAATTAGAATTGATAAGCAGATGAGGTATTTCACGTTATAGCCTGGTATGAAAATTTTGATTTGGTTTTCTGATGTCAAATGTTTACGTTGAATAATTCTAAAAATATATGAGCGAAAGTAAAGAAGAGTAGATTATAATATTTTGACCACACTACATCTGCATACCCAGTGCTGACGACGCCTTTCGTCCAATATTAGAGATCATTAGGCCGGCCGGGATGCTGTTTTTAGGTTTAATTTACTGTAAGTTTTCTGATGGTACTTGATGGTTGAAGGTTAAAAGGAAGCAAAAGCTAAGTCATGTTCATTCTGTCTATAGCTGCGCCACGACGGATGTATGATCTTGCCAAGACTACAAGTGAGTTCCTGAGGTAATCTAAAACAGATGTTGTAAATGATTGGACCTCATAGAATTCTTAATATTCATGCGTTTCTGTGAGGAAACTTTCAGATGTTTCACAAAACCGTTATTTTTCTATGTGAAAGTATCTCTGTATTTGATATCTTTGGTTGTAAGGTGAGTTCATATTTTGCTCTAAGACCCCCAAGAATGAAAATACTCTCGACTCAGATAAACATTTGGATCTATCGTTATACTCATGATATATTATGTAGTTACTGTGAGGTGTAACTAAATTATTTAACACGCAGCTTTCTGTGATGAGTTGCAGAGCTAATCTTGAGTGTATCAACATTTTATGTACCAGAACATTACTGAAAACATTCTATTATGTCCATAGTGCAGTCATAGAACAATAACACATAATCACAAAAATCAAGTAAGCCTAATGAGAAAACTTCCAACACCTGTTATCTCAAATCGTTCGTGTGAAGGGTTGCAGGTAATACCACTCTTCAGGTTAATAAGCGAAATAAATGAAGTATAGGATGAAGGACTATAAGAGTCTACAAAAGGTGGATTTGAGGCGCATGTTTTGCACTTCTTATTCGATAGCTAGAGATTCTAGTCAGACCAACCACTTACATTTGAGTTCTCAAGCAAACAGTTGTTTTTGAAAACGTCACTTATTAATTCATTCATAAATACTTGTTGAAAGTAAACGTTCTAATTGTAACTTCGCGGAGGTCAGACTTAAATGTTTGCTATAGTTCTGTTTATTGTGATTAAATCACGTTGCATTCCACCTTGACAAAATGGAAAGACTTTGTCTTATATATATATATATATAAACCTTACCATTAATGTTCAAACATTCAGATAACAATAATAATTAAGTAAATGTGCAATTTGACTAATTTGGTGAGAATCAAACTGATTACCCA